CGGTGTTTTGGCGAAGAAGAGGTCGCCGAGGCGCCTTCAACGGGTCGGGCTTCACCTTGGGCCGAGTTGGGGAGGGTAAGTCCGGCGTGTCGTCCTCGTCATCGGAGTACGCTAGGGTGGGCTCCCACTTAGCCTTGTTCCGCTCGGCCTCTGCAAAGATGTTGCGAGCACCTCCTTGGGCGGAAGTGCGGCGAGGGGATAGGGAAAGCGAAGCGATTGAAATAGGTGACGGCTCGGCCATTTGAACATCCACCGGTGAATCAACAACGGTTTTGGAACGACAAAATGGCGTCCGGGTCTCTTTCTTTGGCTGCTTTCGGGTATTTGATGGAGGAGAGCCCAGAGACAGCTGGCTGATGTCGGCGCTGGATGAGGGGGTAGTATCGCTGTCGTCTGTCATGTTGGCAGAAGACCGAGAAGACCGCCAACCTTGATTGCTGGATCGAGAGGACCCAGAGCCATGGGTACTCGTACGAAATACATCATCTCGGGAGGTGTTGCTATTAGAAGTGTTGTGCTTGTACTTCTTCACCTCAATGGCAACCCTCTCTTGTACTTCAGACTCAAATCGCTTGCGGAGTCGGTCAAGTTCGCTTTGCACCTGGCGGTCAATTTCCAAGCGTGCTTTGACCTCCCACTCTCGTCGGACAATGTTTTCAATTTCAGCCTTGATATGTTGCTTTTCTGATTCTCTCTTGGCGAGATTCTGTTCCATCTCGCGGACTTTATGGACAGCAACCTCCTCACGTCGGCGTAGGGTCTTTCCGAGGTCAACAACCTCTTTCTCCTTGCGCATCAAGCGAATGATAGGAAGATGAATTAGAGCGGAAGTATCGGGGCGGTGATCGGGATTGACCCGTAGACAGCTTCCAATAACGTTCTTGAGCTCTGGTGAATAGTAATCAGGCAAGGGAGCGAATTTTCCCTCGCGAATTTTTTGAACTAGTTGAATATGGGTGCGAGCGTTGAAAGGGGGCTCTTTCTGACAGAGCTCGTACATGATGCAGCCAACCGCCCAAATATCGGAGCGCAGGGTGTATTTTTCAGCTGCACAAATTTCCGGTGACATGTAGAAAGGTGTGCCAACATAAGTAGATGCGAAATCGTGCGATTGCATTTGCTTGGACAAACCGAAATCGCCCAGCTTTACGGTGTTGTCGCTGCCGAGGAAGATGTTCTCGGGCTTCAGGTCGCGATGCAAGATAGTGACTTGCCCCTGTTTTCCTTTGAGACCAGATGGTTTGGGAGCTGGGCCCAGAATGTTTGATCCGACCTCGGCGGGATCGGAGCCGTAGTGACACCGGAACAAAGCAGTGACAAGCTGGGAGAGAATGCGCCAAACAAACTCCTCTTCGGCGTACTTGTTGGCCTTCTTCAAGTTCTTGATGACCATGCCTAGATCTCCGCCACCACAGTACTCCATATAGAGGTACAGGTCCTGGCTGGCCTTGAGATGTTCTCGGTGGTAGTATGCGACGATGTTTGGGTGACGAAGCGAACTCAAAATGTTGAATTCGGCGGTGAGCTGTTCGCGTTCTTTCTGCGACATTTTGATGTAGTTGATTTCCTTGCGGCATAATATCTATAGGAGCAGGTGGAGGTTAGTTCCGGTTGCAAGATGCCAACAATGCACTACACTTACGAATCCATCTGACTTCCGCTTGACTTTGCGAATGATCCCGAAGGAACCGCAACCTGAATGAATACATAAGATTAGTTTTGACCATATAGAATATAAATTGGGTGACAAAAGCGCAGAACTTACCAATTTTGTCCAAAATCTCATACTTATCGGCCTCAGCCAAAGCAATCGCCATGGCTACAGATTGCTGTAGAGTTTAGGACAATAAGGTGAAGACGAAACAGAAGGATGAGAGTCAATGATGCATGAACGGTGCGAGACAAGATCCTGTGTTAGTAAAAAAAAAGAGTCGAACTGCAGATTTGAAGATTTGAAGAAGAGTCAAGGCAATATGAATTGGAGCTTTGAAGATGGGTGTTTGGGGGATCGTTGCTATGCAACGGTTGATTATGACGCTTTCCCAAACCTAGCAGGCGGTGGGGGAGGTCGATCAAACGGTCGGAAGGAGACAAAACAGCTTTGTTCAATTACGATTGTTATAGTTCAATGGCGTGTTACTATGTATACTTGAATATATCTCTCTATACTTCAAGCCTCCAAATACCTCGACATCACTATATTCACTCCCCCAAACCTATACAATATAGGACACCCCTTAATTTAGACTTCTCATTTGAATACTCACGTGATTCTTATCGATAAGCCTGTTTCCCCCCCGCCGTTTGCCGCTTGCCCTCATCCCACTTCGACCTGTTGTTTCTGGCAACCTGCATGATGGACGAGCCAACTGTGCTACGGAAGGACCAGCTGGAGATCAGCTTAGTCAATGAGAAGAAGTTGATTAAGGAGGGCACTATTAAGGATGATAACCCTTTAGATCTCAGTGAGGCATTCCGCGAACTATGCAGCGCATGTCGTCGGGGCGATCTGAAAGTCTGTCAGGAGAAAATCACCGAAGGCGTCAATGTTAATGCTCGTGATCCCTATGATTACACGCCATTGATCCTGGTGAGTACAATAAATTGATAAATCGGCTGTGTCAATCCCGCGTACCACATAATAACCATGAACTGGTAGGCGAGTCTCTGTGGTCATTATGAAGCTGTGCAACTTCTTCTCGAGTCCGGTGCGCTCTGTGAGCGAGACACATTTCAAGGTGAAAGGTAAATAGCAATTGGTTCTCTATAGAGTGACTATAATTAACGATGGTGGTTCTATAGATGTCTCTATAATGCCCTAAACGACCGGATACGAAACCTCCTCCTTGAGTATGATTATTCCAAGTCCACGGATCCCCTCCAGCCGCTAGCCGCGCATATAACTTCGCTTCTCACCCGCGAGTCTCCATTAACGTCAGATATTGTTGTGACTGCATCCGACGAATCGCTTCACCTCCACAAATTTATCCTCGCGGCACGCTCCCCATATTTCTATGGTAAACTAGCCGTGGCACCAGACTCTGCAACATGGAATCTCCCGAGCACCATTCCACCGGAGGCATTCGGTGCTGCTATCAAATACCTGTACTTTGGGGAGGCTCCTCGGGACCTAAGAAGTGGACCAGGGACAGGCTTCACGGAATCCGAGACTTTTGCAGGGGTAGATAGAATCTCCAAGTACTTGGAGATCCCCAATCTTCTAGACAGTATCCTTGATAGCGGGGATAGGAGACGTGCCAGACAAAGAAGAACCGACGATATTTCCAAGGGCCGAGATCAAATGGAACAGTGGTTCCAGGAGAATATTCTGGGGAACAAGCTCGAGGTGGAAACTTCGAAAGTGAGCGAAGTGAAGTGGGGTCGAAGCAATGCAATCTTTGCTGATGTTCTTCTGAGGGCGGATGAACTCCCTGAGGAAGAAGAGGAAGCAGAAGTTGACACACCGGAGCTCAGCCCTATCTCTACCGCAAACGAGAAGACTCTTGAGGCACCGAAATCCATCATCTTCCCATGCCATCGAGCAATGCTTTTGCGATCTGAGTTTTTCCAGGCAATGTTCACATCCACGTTTCGCGAAGCTTACCTCAATGAGACTCTGACCATCATCGACGTCAACTGTTCGCCCGAGGTCTTGGAAATTATTCTTACATTCTTATACACCGAAAGAGCCGATTTCCCTTTAGAAATCGCTGTCGATGTCCTATTCGCCGCAGATATGCTCTTCATCGAGAAACTGAAGACAAAGGCTGCCGTGGTCATCAGCACCCTTGGCAGTGCTGGAATGTCTCAGACTGAGGCTGCGAAAACTCGAGGTACGGCGCACGAAGATGACATTGACATTTACTCGATCGTTCGGGCTGCGTGGTTGACGCGCGTGCAACGATTGGAAGAATTCGCTGCTCGATATCTTGCATATCGACTGGAAGCACATATAGATAGCCTAGAATTTGCAGAGTTGATTCAGGAATCAGCATCTCGTATCAAGGCGAGACAGGAAACTGATTCCATTGAAATGCTGGATGACATCCGGTTCTACCTTGGAGAGCGCTTTAGATTGAGATTCGATGAGGCTGGTCTGGATGAGATGATGGAAGAAAAAGAGCTACTGGAATATCTAGAAGAAGACGAGCAGCCCGAAAACGTTATAAATCTCACAGAACGTGTGAAGACCCTGGATGTTTCCGAGGATATCCCCAGTCAAGGGCAGGAGCCGCCAGTCCATGCCTCCGTGATTCGAACTCTGGACGGCGCGGTTGTCGAGGATGAATTCTCAGAAGATGCGATGAACTATGAGATCTTGCTCGAGAAGCTGGATAATTTGCTGGAGCGACTCAACCTCGAGGCTTAGGCAATTGAGATTTCGCCACTGGCTTCGATATCAGTCGACCAACGGCGTCCCCCTGGCTTCATCGGGCTGTCCTAGTGGCTTCTGGGCTGTTGCTTTATAAAGGGACCGAGCTCGAGGCCATAGCGTCTGAAAATTGGAAGGCGCTCCTGTGATGAACTTCAATATATATTCAGCTCGCTGGTGGAATCTTTCTGGTGACAAACACATTGCAGACTCCGGGTAGGAGGGAAATATATATAGTTTGTCTATAGATAAAAGAAGTAGTAGATGATTTCAATAACACTCGAATTTATGTACATGAAAACACCGATAATACTCGGTGACAAGCTGTCAAATTCATTTATAGAAGCGAGTCCAATATTTCTAGACTTTGCAGGCCATGGTTGGATTGCCTGGATGCGATACTCGAAGATCACCATCAAGTGCGCTTTGTGTGGTAGGAAGTTTGTTGCGTAACTAGTGGGTATCAAGACCATGTCGGACCTAGTTGATAGCCGCCACCTTGTATCTGAATGGAAAACGGTGCGCGGTCCTTCGGAGGACCAGAGCGTGCTAGTTGCATCGTGGGTTGGTTCGCATTAAACGGTAGTTGTAAGTCTGTTACCTCCATTTGGCAAAGAATCCGTAGTGCTCATCGACCTCCACTCGGTTGATCTTGATCATCACCACCGATGCCTTTCTGCTGCTTCTCGAGCATCCTTGCATCCAAGTCTCGTATCTGGTTTTCAATTATGCCTCTCCGAGCGACCAAGTTGGAGCGCATACCCTGGAGGGCTTTGGTTTGCTCATCGAACGTCGATTCTTGCCGTTGCTTTGCTGTCTATATCGTATAAATTGTTAAATCTGAAATGGGATTCAATGACAGGACTGCAAATAAACGGATAACTTCGGTCTAGATAGATTCGCTCATACCTCGGCAATTTCTTGATTTGTTTTAAGACCAGCTCCATAAAGAGTGCCGGTGATAGTGATAGAAACGACCGCAGTAGTTAAAATCAACCGCTTGATATTCGGAGGAGTCATGGTGAGTGCTATACAAAGTCGAAGCTGTTTGGTCGCAACTAATTGGCCATTTCGAGGCTCTCACCGCCTACCTAAACCGGAGTTTCTATTGATCGCGGACGCGTTCCCCTCGCGTCTGACTTGAACAAAGAACGGCCGGACAAAGCGAATTTCACAGACAGCCCATGAGGCTCCCTCTGCATCTACTCGAGGGTTTCGACCAACATGGCGTCACCCAGTATTCCTCGTCGTCGACCTCACAGCGAGGATGAAGAAGGCGAAGACCCTACGTTTACTCCCCCAGCCCAACCCTCAAATCACAAACGCCCCCGCTTGAACCCCGCTGATAGCGATGACGGATCGGAGCCTGAAGACGAGAGCGAGGGTGGAAGCGAAGCAGAGAGCGATGAGGATAGCGCTAGATCTGAATCACCAGAAGCAGTTTCTCAGGCCTCGCGTGCGATAGCCCACAATGGCCTTGGCCCTGGAGGCTATAAGCCGGGTGCGATCGTGCGGATCAAGGTGACAAACTTCGTGACCTACACGTCCGCAGTGTTTTATCCTGGACCAAAACTCAACATGGTCATTGGTCCAAATGGAACGGGTAAAAGCACCCTGGTCTGTGCCATCTGCTTAGGCCTGGGATGGGGACCTCAGGTACGACTCGGACTATATCGTGCACATCCACCCTATACTGACATTTATCTGATTTCTAGCATCTTGGACGTGCCAAAGACCTGGGCGAGTTTGTGAAGCATGGGGCTCGAGAGGCTGTAATTGAGATTGAGCTATGCGGACCGCCCAAGAATAGAGAAAATTCCATCATCCAGCGAATCATCAAGCGCGATGGCAATAAGAGCTCATTCATACTCGACGGAGTCCCTGCTTCTAAGAACGAGGTGTTGAAACTGGCTCAGTCGTTCGCCATCCAGGTAGACAATCTTTGCCAGTTCCTTCCTCAGGATAAAGTTGCTGAGTTTGCTGCACTTACACCGGTCGAACTTCTTCATTCCACCCAAAGAGCAGCAGCTGGCCCGGAAATGACCCAGTGGCATGAGGCCCTAAAGAGACTAAGAGCCGAGCAGAAGAAACTTGAGACGGCTAACCGTGACGACAAGGAAACGCTAGAAAACATGGAAAATCGCCAAGAGATGCAAAGAGCTGATGTCGAAAGAATGCGCCAGAGAGCCGTGATCAAGCGGAAAATTGAAATCCTTGAGCGTTGCCGTCCAATTGTGGAGTACAAGGAACATCACAATGCCGTCGAAGCCTTGAAGGTTACAAAAGCCGAAGTCGAGCGAGAATATCGTCGGGTCCAAGCTGAAAACGAGCCTATTTTGCGCGCAGTCAACGCCAAAGAGGCCTATATAGCACGATTAAACGGCGTGAAAGACGACCGAAAGGATTCTGTCGACGAGGCATCCAGGGTGGCCACTACACGCGGCCAAAAAATCGACGAATTTGAGAACAGGATCAAGGACCTCAATGATCAGATTGAGGCAGAAAAAAAGAGCGGTCAAAGGCACAAGTCCGAAGCAGCATCGGCTCAGCAAGCTATCAACAGACTTCGACGCCAACAAGAAGAGGAGGCTGTGGAGTTCGATCCAGAATTCTACAACGAGACTTTGGTAGGAAACCCTATATTCTCCATTATTTGGACTAGTATTCTTATCACAAAATTAGAGAGAGAAACGGCTCGAAAAACGCGAGCTTGAGATCAAGGCCAGAGAAATCCAAGACAAGCGGCAGCCCCTTCAAGAGCAACAACAGCAAGTGCAAAGGAGTATCCAACAGGCCGAGCGCCAGCTGAGCAGCTTGGACTCAGCCTCCGGCCAACAAGAACTCAAGTTGCAGAAAGCATCTTTCGATACGCTCAAGGCCTATAGGTGGCTTCTTGAGAACCAAAACAAGTTTGAGAAAGAAGTATTTGGCCCTCCAATCGTTACATGCTCAATCACCGACCCCAAATTTGCCGATGCTGTCGAGTCTTTATTCCAGAAGACAGACTTCACATCGTTCACTGTGCAGACCAAGAATGATTTCCGCACCTTGCAACTTGCGATTAACCAAACCTTGAGACTCCATGATATTAGCATCCGCACCTGCTCGCTGTCATTGGATACTATGAGGGCTCCAATGCCTAACGATCAACTTGTCCGATTGGGATTCGATGGTTGGGCAAGGGATTTTCTGGTCGGGCCCGATCCTGTCATTGCCATGCTGTGCAGTGAGAAGAACCTACACTCGACTCCTATCGGACTTAGTGAAATCTCAAATGAAGTATTTGCCCGTTTGGAGGAGGGTCTGATGAGCTCCTGGGTATCTGGGAAAAGAAGCTATCAGGTGACTCGACGTAAAGAGTATGGACCTGGTGCCACGTCTACCCGGGTTCGAGAGATCAAGCCTGCTCAGGTGTGGACTGCACAGCCAGTGGACCTTTCTCTTAAGCGTGAACATCAAGAGAACATCACGTTATGGAATGAACAGCTGCAAGACATCAAGGACAAGCTTGAGTCTGAGAAGGCTGCCGTGTTAAAGATACGCGAAGAACACGAGCAGGCCGAGCGAGAAATGGTAATTTCCGTATCTCTCTTGCTTTCGTCGCACCTCATACTAATTTGTGCTACAGAAAGACATCGAGAAAGAAAAGAGCGCAAAACAGACAGCTCACACTCAATACCGAGCAATCCCAGAGAAGATCTGTAAGTTCTATTTCTTATTCTTCTGCCATCTGGCACTTGTCTAACAGCTTGCAGCTCAACAAGAGGCCAAATTGCAAAACATTACATCGATGTTTGAAGGGGTCCGAGAGAGAGTTCGTGAGATTCGCAACCAGCAGGACGAATTTGCAATTCAAAAGGCCGAGGCCGCTGTCGAATATGCCGTAAGTTCACTACTGACATGTCCGTCTACTTTCATCTGACGTGATTTAGGATGCTGTCGAATTGTTCCGCCAAGCTTATGAGGAGCTCATCAAAGTCGAGGTCCTATTTTTGGAGGCGACTTCCGACCTTCAGACCCTGCGGCATCGCAACATTGATAGTACGAAATTACTAGAAGCAAAGAGGCGAGAGGCACAGGAAGCTACAGTTAAATTGAGGGAATCCAAAGTGAAGGCCAGAGCAGTTTTGCAAAAAGCTCAGCAAATCAGCCGAGAACTACACGACCAACCCGACGCACAAGCTCTACTTGAAGAACTCGACGATCATGACATGGATAAACTCGAAGCCGACATTGACTCTGAAAAGGCCCGACTGGAACTCACCCATGGTGGCAGTAGTCACATGATCAAGGAGTTCGAAGACCGTGAAAAATCCATTGAGAAGTTGCGCTCTAAACTCGCCGACTTCCTGAACAAACTTACGGAACTTGGCAACGCGATCGCAGATATCCGCAAGGACTGGGAGCCCAGGTTGGAAGCGCTCATCGAGAAGATCAGCGATGCCTTCTCGGATTCTTTCCGCCGCATCGGATGTGCTGGCCAGGTCACCTTGGGCAAAGCAGAAGGTGAAGCTGGGCCCAACGGGGAGCCTGGTGCTAGCGAATTTGCGGATTGGTCGATCGTGATTCATGTCCAGTTCCGTGAGGGCGCCGGGCTGTCGGTCTTGGATTCACATCGCCAGTCTGGTGGTGAGCGAGCCGTGAGTACCATCTTCTATCTTATGGCACTCCAGTCGCTCTCGGCCTCACCCTTCCGCGTGGTCGATGAGATCAATCAAGGCATGGACCCGCGAAACGAGCGCATGGTTCATGGACGCCTGGTAGACATTGCCTGTGCCTCGGGCGAGACCGAGGATACCGACGAGAATGGCAACCCCATCGGCGGCGGTGGGGGTGGCCAATATTTCCTTATTACACCGAAGCTGCTTGAACAACTGTCCTACAAGCCGGGTATGCGCGTGCTTTGCATCTACAGTGGGGAGCATATGCCGGAAGATTATGACAAGACCGAATTCAAGAAGGCAATTCGAAACATGAGGGCAGTGGCCGCCAGTGCGATTACCAGTGGGCCATCTGAAGTCATGCAAAGCAGTGGCCAAGTGGATGTCTATGCCTAACGAAGTTCTTGGGGGTTCAGTTTATTTCTCCAGTTGCGATACCCAATACCGTTTAACCGTTTAACCGGATTTTAGCCTTCCGGATGAACATCGGGCAGGCTACATAAGTACATAGATTTCTGGTTTCAGTTCAGAGAAAAAGGAGTCTAATAATGGTCGGCCTTTTTTTTTTTCCTTCTATGATATGTTGTTAGGTACTTGATAAAAGATCAGAACATATGAATAAATCACACTTCTCCCAGACGTGGGTCAAGCACTCGCACAGACACGGAGTGGCCGATCATGCATATGGGGCCAAAAGGGAGCCGCAGTGGACTTGAGTGGAATTTTCCCAGGTCAAAGAGGTCAAAGAGGTCGAGGTCAAAGAGGTCGAGGGTCAAACACAACCATTTCCGTTTTTCTTCCGGGGTTTACCTCGCAAGTTCGAAAAAACAAAAAAAAAAAAAAAAAAAAAAAAGGGACTCTCAGTCATGCCTGGATCGGACGATTTGACCGAAAAAGAAATAGATCGCTTTACGAAAAGAAAACCAAAACCTGTTCTTCGTAAAGAGAGAGCTCAGATCGACATTTGCGGTCGATCACCGGAGGATTGCACACCAATGGGCTATGCATTCCTTTCGCTAAGATCAACTCTAATACATTTCAACTGTTTTTATTCTTTACTCTTTTCCTATCCCCTATCGAGATGGCCATGCATATTACTGCACGGGGTTGATCGACGCTGCTTTTTGGTCGATTGGTTCGATATTCTACGATGCAATGTTGTCATATATGTCTCATGAAGATGTGTATCATTTTTCATTTTCTATTTTCCTTTCTTTTTCTTTTGGTCACTTGTCACGTCAAACCCCTAATATGTCACTCCCCCTACAAAGACGATACGGAGTACATCACATTTCAATACCAAACCAGGTGATGCATCATAGCGCTTGGAATCCTGCACGGCCCCCAAAAGTCAGATCC